GAACACCTAAAGTTACTAAGGATTCTGTATTTGGTTTTCAGGATGTGTGAGCAGATCCTTTCTCCCCCTGCCCCAAATCAGCAGTGATACAATGAAATACAGAATGCTGTGCCTTATTCCTGTAGGGTTAAAGGATTGGGCAACTAACTATGGTTGCAGGAATAGTTCTTCCTTTCTACTTCTTTGAATAAAGCGCATTTAGGTTTCCAGCTGATAGTTGTGAAATCTATTTGTGTGTCTTCCTCTTTTGATAAATAGGCTGCTGTCTACAAAAGTTGCGTAAAGCTGCCACATCAGCTGCTGTGTAGCAACTCATCCCTACACCATAGCTAGATTGGGGGACATGGTGGGGGCTGTCCCGAGGGCAACAGCCCACCCAGCAGTGCTGTCACACTTCACAGACCTGCTAGCCCCATGTATTAGCAGCTTGGCCGGTGGGGGGGATGGGACCTCATGGTTTGAGGGTTGGCTGAGTTGGGTAGAAGTTTCATATCCCTTTGACTAAGATAAGTTTATCTCAGAACTCCTTGTTTCAGAGATTCTATTGATAGCAGTTCTTTCTCTAGTTTAGTTCTTCATTTCTCACATACAGCCATGTAACATTCCACAGCAGACAGAAACTAGATAGGAGTCTTCAGACATGTTGCAATAAGGACAGTGTGCTGAATATGCAATTTGTTGTAGTAAAAGTTCACCTATAAAAAGGTGTGTTTTTAATCTGCTCTTAAATTGTATAATCTGTATTGAAAATTTGTGCCAATAAAGGCAAACTTGAACTAGTAAAAGTTCAAAACATTCCTAAGCCTTCTGAGAGTTGTCTGGAGAGCTGTAGGCCAATTTCCTCATGATTATAATAGGGTGAATGTGCTCGATGTTGAATTGATCTTGTTAAGAGAGCGTGGGGTGGTCTTGTTGCAATGATATGTCCTAGTCCTGATATATAGGATTATTTGGAATAGCAGGTGGGTTTTTTAGTGATATCTGATGCTTTCTAGATAAGGCCCCGAGGCCACTCCACTTTCTTAAAATTTGTATTCTAAGAGCTGAGTAAGCTGTGTCAAGATGTAATTGGGATCTGATGCAAAAGCCCCCCTTGCTTTGTAAGTATATGTGAACTGATTCATCAGGCCCTTCATGGCCTTGGTTCTTCTTATCTGCAGGACTCCCTCCCTCCCTGTGCTCCGCCACAACAGCTTCACTCATCCCAAGTACCATCCTGCAGTTGGGTGATCCAAGAGCTGGTTTTAGAGAGTTTAGATCCACTTTGGACCAGTGCCTTTCAATTCAACACCTTATAGAAAAATATGCTGCTAAAGGTCCTAATTTGCTTTTTGCTGCTTTCATTGACTTGAAAGCGGCTTTTGATTCAATATCGAGGCAGAAACTGTGGGCCGGCTTAGACGTTTCCTCAATTGACAGAAGGCTCCTCTTTTTGTTGCGGGCTCTTCATGATAACACCCATTTGCAGGTTAGGCTTAACAGGAAAGGAAATGTATTGGACCCTATTAACACCTATAGGGGAGTTAGGCAGGGTTGCGTTCTAGCCCCTTCCTTGTTTAATCTATATATTAATGATATAGTAAGTTACTTGGACTCCCCCAGTTTGCATCCACCAAAATTTCAACAACAGCATGTGTCTGTCTTACTGTATGCCGACGATGCTTTCATCTTAGCTAGAACACCAGTTGGCCTTAGAAGAGCTCTCAGTAAGTTTGCAGACTTTTGTAACAATAAGGAACTAACAATAAATTTTCAAAAGGCCAAGGTTATGGTCTTCGGGGCCAGACAAAACAAAATAATCTGGTCTGTAAATGGGCACTCATTAGAGCAGATTTCCTGCTTTAAATACTTAGGTATGGTCCTTCAATCAAATGGGGCTAGGAAAGCCCACATACAGTATGTCGCCTCCCAAGGTGAAAGAACAGCCAATACTATTCCCCCCCCTTCATTTATTGGTTTTTCAAACACAAAGAAAAGACATAGACAAAAAGAGACAAATTCATCTTATCCTCTCTAAGCTACCCTAACAAAACATAACATAATATCACAGATTCAAATTAATTTTGTTTTCCCATCCTTATACTGTAAATCATCACATATTACCCATAGATATATTTAATTACACTAACTTCCAAATTAAGATATTCTAACAAAACATAACATAATATCATAGGTTCAGATTAATTTTTTGTTTACCCATCCTTATACTGTATATCAGCACCTATTTCCAAAATAAACATTCAGATAATTTGACTTTCGATTAATTAATTTTCCAAATATATATCTTCCATTTGACATATGGCAACTACCTTCTATTACTTCTGTTCCATCTACCTACTATATGAAAATCAACATAGCCAAATCTAAAACAAAACCTTTAACAGAAAAATTCATTTATAGCCCAACTGAGAATTATATTTATAACTTTACCTAAAACAATACCTATTTTCTTTTGCGATCTGAAGAGAACCCCCCCCACATCATTCTTATTTTATACTATTGTTATTTATATTGCTAATGGCTAAATTCTAAAATGGGAATCAACACTTAAGTTCTTAACTTATTCTTAAGTTCTATCGCACCAAAGGGGCCTATTATGTGCCAGCTGCCCAAAAACTCTTTTCAAGCAAAGGCAGTTGGACAGATGCTCTGTGGCACTTTTATTGGGCCTCCTGCCTCTAGTTTTGCCCCCTTAGAGCGAGTTCAGTCCAAATTTCTCAGAGCAGTTCTTCAGGTCCCGAGGTATGTATCAAATACACTGATCTGTCAAGAGACAGGTGCTATATCAATGGAAGCCAAAATTGCTTTAGCTTCACTCCAGTTTTGGCTTAAACTAAATTTCCATCCTCAGGGACTAACCCACTTGTTACTCTCAGACAACTTTCAATCCAAATGGCTGAGAGCAGTTCATAATAAATTATATGCTCTTGGTTTTTGAGTGATTTTGAGTATGCGTTGGATGTAGCAAAATCAGCCCTAAAACAGAGAATGATGGACATGGAGAGACAGACAGATCTCGGTAGATGTCCTAAGTTTAGAGCCCCAGATTCTGTCAAATATCGCTTGCAACCCATGTCCTATTTATCGCAGCTTGATACTCACAAGTTTAGGAAAACCTTCACATTAGCCAGATGTGAGGCTTTCCCCTCCACGATGCTTGAGGGCAGATTCAAAAGGATCCCTACTGAATATAGACTTTGTTGATGCGGCTCAGGAGAGATAGAAACTATTGAGCACATGATGCTCAGATGTAACTGAGCAGTGTAACCGATTGTTAATTCATGGGAACCAACAATTACTGAAACTGTGGCAAAATTTTGGGTAGCATGCTACTACATCCGAAATACACAATCAAATATATAATAATAGTTGCCTAATAGTCTCTGTTTTATGTTCTTCTTTTACTTTTTTTACGCTCAACTGTATTTTTATAGAGTTTTATTTTACTATCCTAAATTCAGTTATATGAATGTTATATTTAAGCATGTGTGTTCTATGGCTTGTTGCCATAATAAATGCCTGACTGACTGACTTACTACCATCCTGCCGATGGGCAGTCGATCATCACCCACACTTGTGCATTCTCTGTTGTGGCCCCACCTTATGGAATGGCCTCCCTGATGAGGTCAGGTTTCCGGTCTTTCCACAAATTATGCAAAATAGAATAATTCAAAAGGGCTTTTTGCATGGCTTACATAAGACTGTCCTGTAATGAAATGGTCAGAAAGCTGTTTTGGTAGAGTGATAGTGACTGTGGCTTATACAACCATATTGCTCCCTATCCCTGTCACTGTAAGTATGCTCCAGACAAGGTAGTTTTACACCAGTTAACATGCCATGTTTAAAAGCTCATGCTTTGTTTCAGCTTTGTTTCTATTTGTTTTCAGGTTTCTATAGTTCAAATCCGATTGTACTGTTCATTGGATGTATCACCTTGTTGATTATACTTGACTTACACTATGTAATCAACCTTGATTCTTCCGTAAATCAATGGCCCCGTTCACACGGAGCAGAAGCCACGCTAAATAGACAGAAGAGAGGCGGAGTTACCTGGCACGATCACACGGCAACATCTGGGGAGCGTAGAGCTCCCGTGGTTGAACTGTGGCGAACCGCCGATAAAACGGAGCAAAAAACTAGTACCTCGGTATTTAATCATATGCAAAACTAGGTTTTCCCCAATGGATACCATAAAAGGGAGAGTACCTTTCATTTCTGTACATACAAGTTGCTTGGAGGCTGGGTAAAAGCCCAGGATGGGCTTCCACATTAATAAAACCTACCCATAATTGTAAGAGGCTGGTATTTTGTTTTTCATTGTAATACTTTGACATACCAGAACCAAAATAGCTTCAAAATAAACAGCTGTGTTCTTGGCTCCATTGAAGTTTTGTCTCCCCACCCCATTAAAGCACGTGAATAGGCAGTAAGCATTTAATTTCTACTGATCTTTTGTGTACTTTCTGTTAACGTGTTCTGTAACAAAGCTGTGTGGTACGGTTCAGGGAGTGAAGGGGAACGGTTCAAGGGTTTTCGAGTCCTGTGATTAGTCAGCTGAGTGCAAGATGTTTCTCCCTCAAACTTCACACTTGCTGGGTTTTTAATCTAGTTGTCGGTTCTTCCAGCCCTGAAGGAAGACTCTTTTAACATATGCTCCTTTCTGCTTAAATATAATAGCACCATATGTATGCTTTAAAGAACGATGTAATGGCTGATCCAGCGGTTACTCAAGGTATAAGATGATGGTTATGAATAATAGTGAACTATCTAATGTGCACTGTGTGCTGTGCATGTGCATGCTGGCATTTTAAAATCAGGCCATTGAGGAATTTCCTGTCACTTCACTTTGGTAATGCCAGAAACATTTCACAAAAGGGATTTTAGCTCAGCCGGACTGCAGAGTCATCTTGCAGTCATCTTAAATGTGGGCCAGCTGTTAGAAAAGTTTATATGATTGCATGTCAGCATGTGTATTAACGTGGACCTTGTTTGCTTTCCAGAACCAGTCTGTTGCTGCTCCTTGCCCGAGAAAACCGCTTTCCTGGAGAAGACCCCTGGTCTCATGAGCGGACCAACAGATCTCGGGAATGGCAGCATTCTGGAGCCAGTCCTGCGGCTCAGGAAAGGGTACATGCCCGATGTCGCTGGGCAGAAACACGATGATCATAACCAGTCAAGTGATCAGGGGCCCCTCTTAGTGGAGCCACCTATATCTTCTGAGCAAGAAAAGGTAATAACTGGTATTCTAAAACTTTGGCATGGGTTGCACAAAAGCTTCTTATACTGAGTATTGGGGTGAATTAATGATTACATCATTGAACGCTTTTCCCCAGCACCTGAAGTTCACAGTGTATGGTGTGAAGCTTACAGATGGGACTAGCTTTAAGATCTTCTTCATTTGAAAACTTGCTGCTAAGCAAATAGGCTACCAACTGAAAAGCTGCTAGCCTGTTGTTGTTATTTTTGTACAGGTCTCCGAAGTGCAGGAAACATGTTTTAGTCATAAGGCACATTATGTTGTGAAAACAATAAAACGAGCAATGTACTAATTTGAAAGCAGGAGGTGACGTTAATCCTTAACTAAACAACTTGCTCTCTGAAAACATGATGGACACATCAAAGCTAGCCTAAACTCTCTTGACGCCTGGGAAAAGACCTTGCTTATTAGTCTCTTACTGGATGGAAATGAGGCCTAGACGGCAGAATGCCTTTGTATGAGAGAAGGTACTCTTTCAAATATCTTAGACTTAGGATATGACTGGTTTTAGGGATTAAAACCAGTACCTTGGATTTAGCCCAGAACCTAATGTAACCAGGAGTCCCTTGACAGCACATTGTGCCACAGTATTCCACACTACCTGAAGTCCCCCCGTCTTCAAGGGAATTGACAGTAGTTGAACTGAAGGCTCCCAGTGCCTACAGTATAGTTTTGAAGTCCTGTCTTCAGAAAGGTGCGCAGCAGCTCCAGTGTCCAAAGTGACAAAAAAGTGTTCTGGTTATAGCTGCCAACTGCTAATCCAAGAGCAACACCAGGTCCAGTAACACTGCAGAGAGCGTTAGTTTGTCCTTCAGGTATGCACACAGGGCACAAAAGAACTGTAGCTCGTTGTTGTGCTTTACTTGTTGTCTGTTTGGGGGAAACTAACACAGGGACCAGTAACCTACTATTCAGCTGCTGCGTGCTTGCCATGGGAGGCCCAAAGACAGGAGCATCAGTCTGCTATAAACTTCTTAATCACCAACTATCATCCAAGTGATTTAGCTGGCAAAGATCCACTTAGCTTAAGGTAACAATGTTTAGAACTATAATTTAAATCTCTTGCTAGGCTAATGTTTGGGCTGTCAGTGCAATGGTGACCAATAGTTTATTAAATGTGACTTCCTACCAGGATGGGTAAATTCACCATACCCCAATACATTTGTGTAAACTGTAAAGAAAATTAAACATTCAGATCAAATCCTTCAGCTTTTTAATTGCTTTGATGCTACTGCCAAGAACTAAACAGCGTAATGCTTTGGCGGAAACCCTGTTCGTTTTAATGATCCTCAGTTGCCACCTGAGCTTGTCTAAGAGCTTTTGGAGGCGAGAGATTTTTTGGTAAATACACAAAGTGAGTGCAGGAAGGCGAGTTAGTTACCTTCAGCGCCAGTGTCTTGGTGTAGGACTCTTAACACCTTTGGACAGCTTTTAGGAATGAGCACCATGAGTTATTTCTGGCTGAAGTACTGTTCTTAAAATTGGCCTCCTTGAACAGGGATTGAGGGTAAATATTTGTAATGGTTTTGCACAGTCTGTACACAAGATAAAGTTTGCAAGCCCTTGAGAACTCAAATGGATCTGCACTACTGTTAGCTGTATTTAAACGGACTGTAATGGAGGGCTGCCAGAAATAGTTTATCCTGATGTACAAGTAAAAACTATTCTTCCGGTGCTGTTGGTGCTTCAAGGGAGCAGGCTCATGAGGTGCACCACGACTTCCAGTGCCCTGACCTGGATGGCCCAGGCTAGCCCTGTCTCATGAGATCTCGAAAGCTAAGCAGGGCGGGCGCCGGTCAGCATTTGGAGGGGAGACCACCAAGGAGGTCCAGGGTCAGCATGCAGAGGCAGGCCACGTCTGTTAGTCTCTTGCTCTGAAAACCCCACGGGGTCACCGTAACTCATCTGTGACTTGATGGCACTTTCTACCACCACTTTTAGTGCAAATCTCCAGGGCTGCTATCAAAAGAAGTGAAGCCAAGGCACAAATTAAAACCCCCCCATCAAATTACCAAGTCAGAGTAAGAAAGCTAATAAACCTAATACAAATCTAATAAAGGACTGTAAACTGATCAACCACTGATTTCCTTGCAGCGGCACTCTCTTTCAGGTTAAAAACAGTTGAGGCTTCCCGGTGCTGGTTAGCCACCAAACAACCAGGAAGGGAGAAATGAGACAAACCTGCTTAGAAAGGAAGTCCCTCAGTTTTGGCCTCAGGCCACAGGAGACATTGTACTTGCATGGCTTCTTTGTTTCTTGGATCTCCCCCCCCCCTTTCATTTCATCCCTCCTCAAAGATTGTTCAGAATCTCTGTAAAAGGAGAAATCTTGAATGCTTAAATTCCCAAAAGACTGGTCAACAGACCAGAAGAATTTGCATTGCTGATAGGGTTGTGACTTCACATTCTTCTGGAAGCAGGAGAATAAAATAGAACCTCTCAATCGGTGGCAGTAGCTCACTGCCTGTTTGGGGACAGTGCCCTCTTTCAGAAGTTCCAGAACTGCTCCAGAGTTCTTAAATACATTTCTAACTGTATTTTCCACAGGATTGGAGAATAACTTGGGGATAATGGGGGGCGGGGGGAAGTGTAGATTTAAGTAGAAGAAGAATTGGTTTTTATACCCTGCTTTTCTCTATCTTAAGGAGTTTCAAAGGGGCTTACAGTCACCTTCCCTTCCTCTCCCCACAATAGGCACCCTGTGAGGTAGGTGGGGCTGAGAGATTTCTGAGAGAACTGTGACTGGCCCAAGGCCAGCACTCAACAGGCTTCATGTGGAGGAGTGGGGAATCAAACTCGGTTCTCCAGGTTAGAGTCTGCCGCTCTTAACCACTACACCATGCTGGCTCTTGTCTGAGTATTGTGAAGCACTGATAGTAAGGTATGCTTAAGTATCTCTTAGTTGTTATTTTCCTGTAAGATGCAGAGCCTTTCATTATATACTAGAACTTCTTGAGTTAGAAGCCTTCAAAGTCCTGAACACATATTTCATTAATCTCGTAAGGGAGGGGCTTTGTTATTATTGAATTAACTAGAAAGTTAGTTATGAACTGTATCATCAATAGCCAACATTTGGTTTCACAGATAATAGACGACTGGATGCAAACAGTCTAGCTAGAACAAATGGCTGAAATTACAGGGGGAAATTGTGAAAAACCCATAGAAAACCATTTTCTCCAAGGATAAAATAATGAACATAAGAACGTAAGAGAAGCCAGTGTTGGATCAGGCCAATGGCCCATCCAGTCCAACACTCTATCACACAGTGGCCAAAAACACCAGGTGCCATCAGGAGGTCCAGCAGTGGGGCCAGGACGCTAGAAGCCCTCCCACTGTTGTTGCCCCCCCCCAAGCACCAAGAGAACAGTGCATCACTTGCCCCAGACCGAGAGTTCCTACCTATACCTTGTGGCTAATAGCCACTGATGGACCTTGCCTCCATGTGTTTATCCAATTCCCTCTTGAAGCTGTCCATGTTTATAACCGCTGCCACCTCCTGTTGCAGTGAATTCCAAATGTTAATCACTCTTTGGGTGAAGAAGTACTTCCTGTTATCTGTTCTAACCTGACTGCTCGGCAATTTCATTGAGTGGCCACGAGTTCTTGTATTGTGAGAAAGGGAGAAAAGTACTTACAAGATAGCAAGTATATTCTGTAGAAACCCTGATGCAACAAAGCGTTGTGACATTGCTGCACTGGTTTCCTGTGGAATTTTTTTTTTTAATGGTACAAGAAAAGCTTTCTTGTATCCAGATCTTTCATTTATGTTAGGCAGTAGTCATTCAGACAAAATTCTCTAAAAAAAGAAAACAGTTCACTGGCATCGGAGTCAGTAGCCATTGTGGTGGTATGTATTTGGGACTGGCATAGCTTGCGTGTCCAGAATTCTTTTATGGATAAACCCTACAGCACATTCATTTTTAAGTCTGCGGTTAAATATGCTTTGGTAAGAAGTAAGCTTCTTTGAAATAAATGAGACATCCAAGCTTAGGATGATGACGAGAGAGGATTCCAGTATTTTTTGTTGTTCAGTTGCACAGTCGAGTATGACTTCGCAACCCCATGGACCCCATCACGCCAGGCCCTCCTGTCTTCTGTGTTCCACTGGAGGTTGCTCAACTTCATGTTCATTGCATTGGTAACACTGTCGTCCCCGTCTTCTTTTACCTTCAATCTTTCCCAGCATCAGGGTCTTCTCCAGTAAGTGCTCCCTTCTCATTTGGTGGCCAGAGTATTGGAGCTTCAGCTTCAGTATCTGGCCTTTCAGGGAACAGTCAGGGTTGATTTCCTTTAGGATTGGCTGATTTGATCTCCTTGCAGTCCAAGGGACTCTCAAGAGTCTTCTCCAGCACCATAATTCAAAAGTATCTATTTTACCCCATCCTTACTTGGAGAGCATTGTAATTTAGGAGAAAAAATATGTGTAGAGTCATGGGTGACTTCGACAGATGCTTGCATCTGAGATCCACTGCGCACATCTGACCAGTGTAAGGCAGAAAAATCAGACTTCTGCCGTCAGACTCAGCAGAGCTAGGGGGGGGCCTATCCCTTGTGCAGATTTATTTCCACGTTCTGGTTTGCATTCTGTCCTGAACATTCAGGTTTTCTTTGGTGACTGCTGCTGCTTTGCTTTCCTCCCTGGGCTGGCCTGGCTGGCCTCCTTCACGGCATTTATCCCCCTCTGCCCTTTGCTGTTTGAATAGCTGGAGTGTCTTTGTTCCCCCTGCTGTTCTTCAGTCACTGATATCTCCTAAAGAAATGCCTCTTACTGTGGCTTTGTTAAACTGACACAATCAAATGCATGTGACTTTTTATCACCTGATGAATGGGCTTTTTATGCACAGCCCTGAAAACCTGCACTTGACTTTTTATCTACCCTTTAAAAAAAACCGAAAAACAAAAACTATAATCCTCGGGTGGGGTGGGGGGGGCACACACAAAGGGCTGCTTTCTTCAGGTTTAGCCCAACCACCG